CTAAATCACAGAGATGATAAATGATCTTGTTTCCCAAACTCACATAGAAAGTCACTGGTTTTCTAGGTGTAATACTAACTAGACTTGGAGCAAAGAAATAAATTTATTTCTGCTACAACTGTCTCCACTCTCTCTGACTCCCATCAGAGACAACTGCCTGGGCTAGTTTTCGGATGTAGTGATGAGCTGCTTACAACTATAAATTATTTTGCAAGACTCCAAAGAAAGATCCTGTATTTACAGATTCAAGGGAGGAGATTGCAACATGATTTTATAACAGAGAATGACTAGGCAGTAAGCAGGGTTAAAGGATGCAATAAGAAGCAATAGTGAAGCACTACAGAATCCCTTACAGGCAATGTGAGACACTGTCTTACTTCAACAATCACTGCATTGGAATTCTGACTAACATGTTTAGCGTTCAGATCTCTTTCAGTCTTTTCTGGTGTGCCATCAAAATTCTGGTATTTGATTAGTGGTTGTTTTGGGATGGGAGAAGGGAGACAAAAGGGTGAGAGCTAAACAGTTTCTTTCTGAGGTAATGAAAACGTTCTAAATTGACTGTTGTGATGGTTGCACATTATATGTGAACATATTAAATCCACTGAATTGTAAATTAAATGGATGAATTGTATGGTTATGTGAAAAAAGTCTCAGTAAAGCCATTAAAAAAAGAGTTGAACCAGAATCTAATCGTATACAGAAAATACAGAAGATAGAGAAACAAGTTTATGAGGAAGAAATTTCAAAAACGTTGAACCAGAATCTAACCAGTTACAGGAAATACAGAAGACAGAGAAACAAGTCTACAAGGAAATAAACATAAAATCCAAAAGGCAGGAAATTCTATAACACAACTAATCCAATTTCCTCAATAAGTCAATGGCATAAAAATAAACAAACTTAAAAGTTGGGGGAGGGAGTAGTATTCCACTGTGTATATACACCACATTTTCTTTATCCATTCATCTGCTGATGGACATTTAGGTTGCTTCCATATCTTGGCTATTGTAAATAATGTTGCTATGAACATTGGGGTGTGTGTAACTTCTCGAATTAGTGTTTTCATTTTCTTCAGATAAATACCCAGAAGTGGAACTGCTGGATCATACTGTAGTTCTATATTTAGTTTTTTGTTGTTTTTTTTTTTTGCGGTACGCAGGCCTCTCACTGTTGTGGCCTCTCCCGTTGCGGAACACAGGCTCCGGACGTGCAGGCTCAGTGGCCACGGCTCACAGGCCCAGCCGCGGAGTGGGGTCTTCCCAGACCAGGGCACAAACCCGTGTCCCCTGCATTGGCAGGTGGACTCTCAACCACTGCGCCACCAGGGAAGCCCTATATTTAGTTTTTTGAGGAACCTCCATACGTTTTCCAGTATGGAAGAAAACATACGGCTGTACCACTTTACATTCTCACCAACAGTGCACAAAGGTTCCCTTTTCTCCACATCCTCGCCAGCACTTGTTATCACTTGTCTTCTTGATGATAACCATTCTAACAGGTGTGGGGATATCTCATCATGGTTTTAATTTCCATTTCCCTATGCACTTTTTCATGTACCTGTTGGCCATTTGGATAACTTCTTTGGAAAAATGTCTATTTAGTTCTTCTGACTATTTTTAATCGGGTTGTTTGTCTTTTTGTTATTGAGTTGTATGAGTTCTTTATATATTTTGGATATTAACCCCTTATCTGATATATGATTTGCAAAAATTTTTCTCCCATAGGATGCCTTTTCATTTTATTAATTGTTTCTTTGGCTGTGCAAAAGCTTTTAAGCTTGATGTAGCCCCAATTTGTTGATTTTTGCTTTTGGTGTTTGTGCTTTTGGTGTCATATCCAAAAACATCATTTCCAAGAACAACATCAAGGAGCTTCTTCTCTACATTTTCTTCTAGGAGTTTTATAGTATCAGGTGTTATGTTTAAGATTGATCCATTTCAAGTTAATTTTTGTGAGTGGTGTAAGATAGGGAACCAATTTCACTGCTCTGCATGTGTCTTTCTAGCTTTCCCAGCACCATTTGTTGGCCTTTCCCCACTGGATGCTCTTGGCAGCCTTGTAGACCATTAGATGACCATATGAGCAACAACGTGGATGGATCTGGATGATATTATGCTTAGTGAAATAAGTCAGACAGAGAAAAACAAATTTTACGTTATCACTTACATGTGCAATCTATAAAATAAAACAAACTAGAGAATATAACAAAAAAAGAAACAGACTCACAAATATAGAGAACAAACTAGTAGTTACCAGTGGGGGGGACAGGGAGCAGGATAGGGGTAGGAGATTAAGAGGTACAAATTACTATTATAAAATAAAGAAGCTACAATAATATATTGTACAGCAAAGGGAACATAGTATTTTATAATAACTCTAAATGGAGTACAACCTTTAAATATAGTGAAACACAGTGCTGTACACCTGAAACTTATTTAATATTGTAAGTCAGCCATACCTCAATTTTAAAAAAAAAGTTAGAGGAGGGAGAAGCTGCCCTTTTTTTTAAAAATGCAAGTGATCTAAGACCAAATTCCATCTGTGGATTTTGTTTGATCCTGATTTGAATAAACCAACTATAAAAAGATATGTATGAAATAATCAAGAAAATTTAACATGGACTGGATATTATTAGATGATACCAAAGAATTATGGACTGTTAATTTTGTTAAGTGTGATAACAGCACTGTGGTTAAATTTAAAGATGTTAATGTTTATACTAGTCTTCTACTTCTATGTATGTTTGAAGATTCCCATAACTTAAAAAGAACTTTTTCAGAGAGAATACAAGAAGAGAAATTGAAATCAGCAAGCTCTGACAACCCTTCAAAGGAATTTTGTTGCAAAAAAGAGCAAAGAAATATTGGAAGTTGGAGACTGATGGAAAAGTGGGGCAAAAAAAGCAGAATTTTTTTAAATAGGAGAAATAACGGTATGTTTGCATGTTTATATACTGGTGGGAATGATCCAATAAATAGAGAGAAAAAGTGATGATATAAAAGAGAAGGGAGGACTTCCCTGGTGGCACAGTGGTTAAGAATCTGCCTGCCAATGCAGGGGACACAGGTTCGAGCCCTGGTCCAGGAGGATCCCACATGCTGCAGAGCAACTAAGCCCGTGCTACTGAGCCTGTGCTCTACAGCCCACGTGCCACGACTACTGAAGCCTGCGCACCTACAGCCAGTGCTCCACAAGAGAAGCCACTGCAATGAGAAGCACGTGCACCACAATGAAGAGTAGCCCCCACTCACCACAACTAGAGAAAGCCCACACGCGGCAACGAAGATTCAACCCAGCCAAAAATAAATAAATAAAATAAATAAATTTTTTTCAAAAAGAGAGTAGGGAGAATTCCTAAAGTACTGTATTTGAGCGAGAGAACTTGGGATCTAGTTCACTAGTGGTTCATTTAAAATAACTGGTGAATAGACACAATACGGGTACAGATGATAAAAGGTGAACACACATGGTGGTAGGAGTATGTGGAAGTTCTTTCTGACTGCTTCAATTTTCTCAGTGAAACAGGAAGTCAAGTCATCCTCAGAGCGAAAATGGGGAAGAGCAGTTAGGGTTTTAAGGGAAGAGTAGGAGGCATGAAATGGGTCAACTAAAACAGTGGGAAAATGAACGGACTAGGAAAATAAAATGTTTGCCTAGCAATGTTAAAGCCTTCATGAGTTAGTGGTCATAAATTTAAAGTGAGACCAGTCAATGGGATCCGTGTGCTTTCCTCCAGCCATACTCAGCTGCACAAGTGCAGGTATGAAGCAGAAGGTTGGATTTAAACAGCACTGAGGTAGTGCAAATGACATGAGAAGAAGTTAAGGAAGCCAAGAGTATACGCAAAAGAGTAATTATAATGATCAACAAATAATTTAAGTTTGGTAAGGAGAGAAAAGAGGACATCAAGGGGTGAGAGACACACAAAAGTTAGTATGATCACAAATTCTAGGTCCCAGTGGTGTTGAAGGACAGTTGAAGTCAGAGCACCAGAACAAGAGAGCAAGAAAGATAAGAGGTGGTATTAAGAGAATAGGAAACATAAAACTGAGATTACAGGAGGCTTATGGTTATTCATAATGACTAAATCCAGGGATGACTATGGAAGTGAATAGTTAAGGTGTAACACAGAATGCGGGAAATCAGTTGAAAAGAGGAGTTCAAGACACTAAGAGAGCATTAGAAGGATCATCTCCATGTACATTGAAACCATCCAGAAATCTATATATTCTAAAATTTCTCCAATCAGTATGTTACTGTTGTTAAAAGTAAACTCCATGTTTTAAAATTTTAATAACACAAACATTATATATAAACATGTCGCTACAAGTCAATCAAACTATTATGCTCTGGCATATGATGTCTGTTCAATAATTGGTACCATTTCATAACCAAACAGAAAGTGTTAATACAACTTCACCCAAGTCAGTCTTAATTACTTTTTCAGTTTTTGACAAATGGAGCATGTTTTTAATTCATATTTCTACTATAACTAATAAGTACCAGTTTTTTATCAAAATTGATTATCCTCATGCCAGCCTCTTGAATAAGAAAACATATATTTATATCTCTGACATAGCACCTGGCTTAAAGCAATAATTCAATAACTATATATTCCTTTCTATTAAAGGAGATAGATAATACTATGAATCTACATAATTATTTAACATTTACTTCAGTACCTATTATTTCTAGAATAGATTCCTGAATTTTCATGTATGAATCACCTTGGGTCTGGGAAGTTCTAATTGTAAAATTCCAGAGTTGATTAAATCCTGAATGTAAAGTTTCAGAGGTGCCTAGGAAATCAACACTTCTATAACACCTCCCAACACTCCTCTGACTCAAATTTCAGAAAAGAGTGAGATAGCAACAAATAAGGGTGTTAGTGAGAGTAGTGATGGAACCCAATCTACTGGCTCTTATCTTTCCACTATTTTTTCATGGCCTAGTCAGAATTACACAGTAACATACCATATTTTAAATATGCTACTTACTGTGGTATGATGGGATATACTGCCAACAATGTTGAGGTTTTTGAGCAGTTGGGGAGAACCACTGTACTGTCCAGAAATCTGCTTCCTAACTTCAGCAGCCACAGTTCTACAACAAAAAAAGCAAATACATTGTTTTTAAAAAGAAAACAAACTAACTTAAAATGGGAGAAAGCTAAGTATTTTAAAAAGTCATCTAAAGAACAACAAAATCTCAGCACATCAATAAGGCTACAAATTTATAAGATATTTTGGTAAATACTGCCTATAATTACAGTAGAACATCTTTATAATGCTGATACAGGGTACAATACTCACAACCAACTTACATAAGGCTTTTTTTGTATATGGCATTTCAGGGAACATATTGATACTTTGGTTTATGATAGAGCTGGAAGCTATAATAAGATGTATATATTAATGTGTATATATTTTAAGGATATAAAATTAATTCAAAATACTTTATAAACAATATTCATGCCCCAGAAAACTATTCCCTATTTTTACTTAACTAATAAAAATTGTCTTTATACTCTGGCATTAATGGCTTTCCATAATCTGACCCTAATCACCTTTTCAGCCTTACATATCCCTTCCCAAATTCTTCTCAATGAAGATAAACTGCAAAACAAAAATATTTTAGACATTTGAATGACTCTGTAGCTCATTAAGCTCTATATTCCTTAGACTTCACAAAATTATAAACCAAAATATTCAGTGAGTCTTAAATCCAGTCATTAAATAACTTCCTCATATTAGTAACATTTTTACTAAGTAAAAAATGTAACTAAAGAACACAAAATAAAGACAACTATCAATAGATTTTGTACAATTATTTTCCTGATGTCAATATCTAACCTCCACCCTATGATCATCAACTGGTCACTATTTTATAAACCTTGCCTTTTGTTCTTTTACTCTTTTCCAAAAAATAAACCCTACCTTCCTCCTATCATTCCATTGAACGTAAAGTGAAACAGGCCTACTGCCTTCGATTCTGGGCCAGCTTGATGATACTTTTGTTCTGGAGTGTTCTCAAATTAATGGTTGAATTCAGAGCCCTGAACATCTTAGTGCCCTTTCAAATTTCCAGCTGAATTTCTAGACAATTTCATTTTCCAAAAATTATCCAAATATATGATATAATCTTTAGCTTCCTTCTTCTCTTCCATACCCCCTTAACTTTTTTCATATTCAATCACTCCACACACATCTCTTGAGCACTGTTAGGAGCTGACCACTCAGTTAGAAATTTTTCATAGAAAGGTAAAAGAGTTATCATTTTTAAGGCTCAAGATACTGAATTAGCTCAACTTTTTCTTTACAGGTGATCTGAAGTACTTTAGATCATATTTGTGTTTTTAAAAAGGCTAATCTGTTATTCATAATTGTCAAATAGATAAATGGATAAACAAACTATGGTACATTCATACAATGGAATATTATTCAGCAGTAAAAAGAAATGCACTATCAAGCCAAAAAAGACATGGAAGAACCTTAAAAGAATACTGCTAAGTGAAAGAAGCCCATCTGACAAGGATACAATACTGTATGATTCCACCTATATGACATTCTGGAAAAGGCAAACTATGGAGGGGTGAAAAACAGTGGTTGCCAGGGGTTGGAAGAAGGAGGAAAAGGAAGAGATGAGTAAGTAATGCACAGGGATTTTTAGGGCAGTGAAACTATTCTCTATGATACAATCATGATGGATACATATCATTATACATTTGTCAAAACCTATAAATATACAACACAAACAGTAAACCTAATGTAATCTATGGACTTTAGTTAATAATAATGTATCAATATTAGCTTATCTATTATAACAAGTCTATTATAACAAATGTATCATACTAATCCAAGATGTTAATAAAAGGGAAAACTTGGTTGGGAAGTAAACATGGGAACTCTCCGTACTTTCCACTTTTCTGTAAATCTAAAACTGCTCTCCCAAAAAAGTCTACTGAATTTTAAAAAATAAGTAAATAAATAAAAAAGACTAACTCAGAAAAGACAAGGGAGGAAGAGAAGAGCATGAAGAAACGATTAGAGGTTAGAGATGAAAGCTAAAGGAGGAATGTAACCTTTGAAGGAGGATACAGATTGAGGAGAGGGCAAAGGGGAAATTCTGTAAAGCATCTGGATGTGAGAGGACAGGAACATTCACTGCAGTTTATGACTCCCCTTAGGCTTTTAATGAAGCCTATACACTGTGAATGTTCATTATTATGTTTGGTTTAAAGGCCTTACAATCTCCTGATCCTGTTGTCAAGACTGAGATGAAAACATGAAAAAGCTTTTAAAAAGAGAGAGAGAGACAGAGAACAAGTATTGTGTCTATCTTCCTCAGTGCTACTCAACTCAGTCTACCAACCTCAGCACTATCTCAGTGCTTCTGTTTCTCAGTGTTTCTGGGGCTAAACCACGAGTAATCTGAATTGTAAACTGCTATATTTGATCAAGTTCAAGATCTCAGTAACTGTTAAGACTTGCTATTACTTCAGGTACAGCTAAGAAAGAAAAACCTCGCTAATTAAGCAATACACTATCAATTAATTGAAAGACATACCCTGATTTCAGAAAATGTTAAAAAGTGAAACAAAATTTAAAATACGATTACTTCAAAAAGAGACTATCCTTCATTTAATAACAGAGACATACAAAGGATAATCCCCACATTACAAATATTTGTCTTATTTATACATGACATAATTTTCCCCAAAGAGAAAATCAGCAATAATTTGAAATAAGAACCATTTCCAAACTGAGCTATAATGGCAATAAAACCATCTGCAACCCAGACAAAGGATGTATTTATACTGAGACCCTCTGCATGAAAAGATTTCCTCAATGGTAAGTGAGGAAATTTTCCCAAATTAAGAAAACAGTATCGGGGTTCCCTGGTGGTGCAGTGGTTGAGAGTCCACCTGCCGATGCAGGGAACACGGGTTCGTGCCCCGGTCCGGGAAGATCCCACATGCCGCGGAGCGGCTGGGCCCGTGAGCCATGGCCGCTGAGCCTGCGCGTCCGGAGCCTGTGCTCCGCAACGGGAGAGACCACAACAGTGAGAGGCCCGCGTACCGCAAAAAAAACAAACAAAAAAAAAAACAGTATCTCTTAACCATACTATGGTCCAAAGTATGCGACACAAGAAATATAATGAATAAACTGTTATCAGGAATAACAGTACCTGTTATCAATTAAAATCCTTTATCACAGATTACTTTTTTAATAACAATTTTTCCTACTCCTAATGAAGCTCATATAGTAAAGCAATACAAGGAAGTCTTTTTTACTTCTAATAAGCTATTAGTATTAACTGCAAAGTGGAAAGAAAAGTAGGTCAAAAATTCCATAGTTACTTACACTCTTAAATTATAATAGCAGAATATCTTCTTCCCCTTCCAAAAGCACATGATCCAATATTTGATCTATTTAACTCCTTACCAACTCTCTCCATTTCCGTAAGCTCCCTCACTATGTCAACATGCATTACAGTTTTTACAAAAGCAAGCACTCGCTAAGGCCGTTCACCATGGGATATTAGAAATAACCAACAAAGGATCCACATCCTGAGGGAAAATTATGTTGCATTTAACCTTTCCTCTAACCTCATCCCACTTTCAGACGCCCAATCAACCATGATTTCTAGAACGTCCCAAGGCCAATCTGGGCCTCTCTCATCTCTAGTCATTCTTCATGGGACCAGAGGAAACACCTGAGTAAAGATGAGTAAGGAGAGTTTAGACTAAAATAAAAGAGGTTAGTTGAGCTACTCCTATAAAGTCACAAAAAAATATCTGCAATGTAATATGCTAATAAGAGAATAAGATCTCTTGGAACTGGCACTGTTTATATTAAAAACAGAACTCAGAGGAGAAGTGTAAGGGAACATACCATGGAATATACCAGGTAAGGGCACATATCAGAGACAAGGCAAGAAAGGGCTAGCTAAAAATCCCCAAAAGAAAAAGGACAAGAACAGATGATACTCCAATGCTGTGACTATCCAAGTCCATGATTGATGACTGATGGATTGAATCACAGTTCTACCATAGTGTATAGTTGGTATTAAAGACCAAAAGAGGCAAAATAAAGAAAACAATAGATTAAAGAAATGCAACACTGTATCACCTTTCCAGTATTTGTGCCACAAATATTTAACCTGAACTGAATCAAACCTGTATATCTAACATCCAGATTGCAAGAAATACAGAGAACAGTGTAAACAATACTAAAAAAAAGCAATCAGACAAAAACCAGAAGAAAGCTCATTCTATAATGTCAAGTCTCTTCAACAAGTCAAAGTGATGAATAAATAAATAAAGGCAGTGGGCTAAGTTTTAGCATAAAAAAGGCTTAAGATTAAAAATTAAAGTCTACTCAAAAAGGGAAAAAAAGACTTAAGCGATATAACCAAATGCAACGAGTGGTCCTTAACTGGATCTTGATTTGAACAAACCAGCTATAAAAGACATTTCTGGGGATAATGAGAAATCTGAACATGGACAAGGTATTACATAATTAAGAATCAGTGTTTTTTTAATGTGGGAAAACAGTATTATAACAATGGAGGGAAATGTCCTTATGTTTTAGAGATACAAATTATGTCTATAATTTAGCTTAAAACACTTCAGTTATGGTTACTCTGCCTTAACAGAGAAAACCAGCAAACTAAATATGGAATACAGATGTGCCAAATACTCTTCAAGAAGTATATCATATCCTCCATATATCCCTGCCTGATTATTTCTGCCCTGCTTTCCTCAGGTTAGACACTCGTCCTCTGCGCTTTCAAAGCATTTTGTGTTTATGCGCATTCATTTAAGGAAATGGAGTTTCCAGGAGGCTAGTTCAGACAGGCAGCAGACTAGCTAGACTGCTTTCCATGGTGGAATAAGAACCTGGCCTTGCTGACAGAGTTTGATTTCAGCAGTGAGAAAGCCTAATGTTTATAAACATTCTCTTTGATAGAAGCACATAAACTGCAAAGTAGATTTTTCTAGAATAGTAGTAATGCGACCCACAGATGTAAAAGTATGGTGGACAAAAAAAAGGTGCGGTAAAGTATCAAGAATATGGCTTCTCAGGCCTGGCACACTCTCC